TGACCAACCCTAGATAGATATTTTATTTTCTTTTTGAATGATCATGATGTAACTCATAGCTTAAAATTTCCAATATAAATATACTTATTTACACTGTTTTCGATACATTTTTCTTATAGTTATACTTAACACAATTTCAAATGAGTTTTCATTGCATGTTAAGGATAATCGAAAAATAAAGATTTGTTTTTTTTAATCTAGGCTTAAAAGCTTGGTTGACATAATCTTTAAAAAAAACCTACCTGAACCTACTGAAACTGAACCTGTCTGCTATTTCTCAGGTTTAGCGAACATTCGGCTTTCCTTAAAGTGAGAATGTGACCTAGATTTTTTTTAGATAGGTATACGGTACACGTTTTTTTCATTTTCCGTATGGATAGAAATCTGGAGATCACATGGTCTATCTAATTGCCGAGGTTGCGGGTGCAAGTGCGATAATAAACAACAGCTTTGGCCCCAAACAAGTTATAAGTGTGGGAGAGCCATGCTTCGGCACGAATGGGTCGGCTCGACCGGAGTGATACCACGGCCTAACAGAAAACCGACGTGAAACAACCACAGCGTTGTGTTTCGCCGTGTGAGTGAGGTTACCGGAGGCCCAATCCTTCCCCGCCCCCAATCCCTCCTCAATCCCTAAATCTCCAAATGCCTAATCCCTAAAAGGTCGGCAACGCACTCGTAACTCCTCCGTTGCGGGTGTCCATGGGCGGCGCTGATTGCTTACCATCAGGTAATCCGGATGCTCGTTTGTCGGCCATTACAAAAAAACCGGCATCACCGAGCTACAGGTACGGACATAGACCACCACACGCGGGACCCTATAGGGCTGTGATTTATTGTAAAGGTAATACACAGTTCCACTACATTTATATCTATCTATAGGTATATAAAATACAATTCCTACTTAAAAGCATTGAATTCTTGCATTAGACACGTTAAAATCCCTTGCTTTCAAACGCAAAACTTCGCATTTACAAAACTAATTAATAAATCATTATTAATACATTTCTGACAGATAAATTGCCCTGCGCCTACAAAGCAATAAATCTTATAAATTGTGAATTGAATTTTCGATTCATCAAACAATTAGTGAAATATTTCACAACGATTTAGGTAGCATTAAGAACTATTCACATTAAGTTATCAATGAAAGTAATTTGTTTTATTTAGCAACAAAATTGACGTCATCTATAATGGTTTTTCTCTAATTCAATTGCAGGTAGGCCCTATAACATATTTACATAACTGGTTTATGTTTCTCGACACGATTTTAAAATTAAATTAATGAAGCCTTTTTTTGTGAGGTGAAAATCACCAAATGACTTCTCCCGCCCAGGTTGGGCGGGAGGGAGTGTCTGACTCTTACTGACTAAAAACCCCCCTGTTCCTTCTCCTGCTCTATGCCGAGGTCGCGGTGCCTCATTGCGCTTACCCCGCAACCCCGGCTGAACATCAGCCCTTTAGGGCCCCGTCTGTGGTGATCTAATGGCTCTTTGAGGCGCGCGCGGAATGCTACGCGCCGTACGCTCGGGCCTGGTTCTGGTCGGGCGGCGAGCTGCCCTTACTCGCCGATCGCAGGCCCGTGCTTACGGTGGCCGGAGATCGTCCCTTGATCCCCGACGCCCGTAGTGTCGCCAGTTGCGGCTGCTGGGGCGTTAGGAGGAGGATTGCTCCCTCACGCGGGCCGCCTCTCTCTTTGCGAGCATGACTGCTTCACAAAAGGAGGAGACGGCGTCCCAGTTCCTCTCACTCCGCGCCATGGCCTCGACTAAGGCCGGGCGCGAGAGGTCGCCGCCGCCGATCACTTCCCTGAGGATACGGCGGTGCTCAGCCCAGGCAGGGCATACCGCTACCGTATGCTCCACCGTATCCTCTAGGTGGTCCTCACAATGACGACACTCGGGCGTTTCCTCCCGCTGGATCCGAAACAGGAACCTACCGAAGCTGCCATGCCCGGTAAGCACCTGCGTCAGACGGAAGGTGAGGACGCCGTGGCGTCTCTCAAGCCATTCCTCAAAGAGGGGTCTTACCGCTGCTATAGTAGCGTGCCCGAAAAATTAATTAAGTCTACCACCTTGATTTGTACACACTTTCGACTAACGAAAGTATCGGATACAATTGACAATTACGAAATTAAAAGACAACATTTTTGTTGACGACTTTATAGTTATTCTATATATTATTATAATGTCCCGTTTTAGAATGAAATGCGATTGTTTTTTTTACGTTATAATTAGCCGCAAACTACTCGTAGGCAAAGACCGTATCTTGTGGCTTTATACTTATACAAACTTTAGCCCAAACCTTTGCCCGCCACTTTGTTAACGTGGAATAGTGACGTCCTGCAGATTTTTGGTTTAAACTATTCATGTCCTGTCTCGAGTTCCAAGTCCAAGTCTTTAGCAAATTTCACATAAATAGGTTCAGTAGTTCAGGCGTGAAGAAAAGACGGACAGGCAGAGTTACTTTCGCATTTATAATAATTAGTTTGGATACTTTTTGTATAACGCGTTTTTATTGCTGTATTGTGCCTTGTACTAATAAAATCTTTTTTTCCTTTTTTGTTTTTTAATATTTGTTTTATTATGTTATTTTGTTCATATTATTATTTTGCCTTATTTTCAATCAAAAATTCTCTTCTCAATAAACTCTTTTCTAAAACTATACATAAAACATTACGATATAATATTTAAAATCAAACATGAAAATAAGGTGATTATCCAAATTAGTGTCTAAAAAGTCTAGGCTTATTTTCACACAATTTTGTATACCAAAGGTTATGCCATTGAAAACAGAAATTATAATAATTATACAGTCATAACGCTTGTTAAAAAACAATTAGAAATATATCCTACCTTTATAATTATACTTTAATATTTAGGTACAGTTATATGAAAGCTAACCTTTCTCAGAAATTGCAATGTCGAAGCGAAACGCTGAGTTATTTTAATAATTCTTGTCTCACCAACCTGTTAGCAATGAAATCATTGTTACGCCTTTATGTGTAAATTACTGAACCTATTTTGACGAATTCAACTGAACTGCTCTCGTAGAATAATTAACTAGGTATTATTATATTTGTTCTTTTCTATTCCCGGACCTTTGGAAGGCGTATGAGGGGCCGAAGCTAACTTGAACAGGTCCGTTGAAGAGTTTTAATCTAAATGTGATGGGACATGTTATTATTACTATTAATATGCTCAGAGCAGGAGAAGGAACGAGGGAGTTTTTAGCATAAGTCTTATAGTCAACTGTTGATTTTCCCAAAACAAAAAAATATATAGGTATAAGGTATACCTACCTATATTTTTTTTTTGTTTCAAATCAAAACTTTAATTTCAATCAACCCAAAAATAGAAAACAATACAGGATACAGGCACTTTAAAACATCGAAAATTGTATTTTTGTCAGCGGAGTTTGTTCTTAACCGTAGATTCGTATGAAACAGAACCAGCAACCTTATCTAAGATTAAAGCAAACCACATCATTAATACCTACTTCTGTTACAACATACTGACGAAATTATACCTAAAACCTGTTAGCTGATTACCATACATAGAATTATAGCGAACTGCGTTAGAAAGACGATATGTCAAGGTCAAATAAACGGATGGGCAGTGTGAAACGACCTCAAGGTCACATGAATCGATTTTTACCCAATATTACCAGTATTATTTAATATATTACAACACTATTTGATCATGAATTATGGTTTTTAGAAAGGGTTTTTTTATGTAACTTGAACCTGTCTGCTATTTCTCAGGTTTAGCGATCAATCCTTAAACTTAGGCCGTGAACTAGATTTTTCTTTTATGTGGCTATTAAGAACTTAATACAAGTACCTGAAAAACTTATGTCACACCATGTGACACGTAAGTTATACAAGCGATATTCTTTATTCAAATTTATTGGGTTTATAGTGGCTATCCCGACATTATGAAACAGACCCTAAGCCTCAGCCTCAGAATAGTCTGGCAAACAAATAGGCCACTTACAATAAAAGAAAAACAAAACAAGATCTTAAAGAAGAAGACTAAAGAATAGACCTGGTATAATAAGGTATAACTATTTAACAAACCTCTGGAGGAAGGAAAAAGAATACCCATGTCATATGGACATTTGATAATGAACCATATAAGAATGGCTTTAGACCCATGATGCCTAAAATAAATAAATAAATTTATCATAAACAATGTAAGTTGTGTCTTAATTTCAATCCCAAAAACGGTTGGCTGAAGCTTCGATTCAAGCCTTTATTTACGACTATTTAAACATAAATCTTAGGGCTTCAAGGATAAAACAGCATTACTATTTAACGAAGCTTTTAAGACATCTTTTCGTTGGGAATGCGTGAACCGAGAGGCGTGCCATGAATTAAATATCAGGCAGGCGTAACAGCGACATCTTAGTCTTACAAACTAGGTGCTTCAGACGGTATTTTATTACAAAAAGTTTACTTCAAAAATGTATTTCTTAACAAGAATTAGTATTGAAAATTAAGATGGTTAGTTAGTTATATTATTATTGTTGGCACACATACAAACACAATAGTCTATAAAGAAGATTAGAGCCGCCTAATACAAACTATATTTGCTTAACAGCAGGCCACGTGATGTACATTATTTTTTTCATTTAATCCTTATCCTAAAATGCTGGCAACGCACACGAGAATTCTTTGGCGTTGCGGGTGTCCACGGGGGATGCCGATTGCATACCATCAAACAATCCGTCTACTCGTTTGCAGATAAAAAGAAAATCGTATCCATAACGGTTTCCACAAATTAAAATACTAGAAACAATAAAGTTTTTATTTAAATAAAAACAATAAAACACACACGACACGTTTTTATCTACTAATAACTTTATTCATTGTAGCTTTACGTCAATTAAAAATTAATTCATATTACATCATGGTCAAACTGCAATCCAGCAAAACATGTCTACATTTTTAAAAAAAGAAACAACTCAAAACTAACCTAAACTCTTCTGACTTGTTACAGGAAGAAAACATAGCACTCCGCCTAATAAAGCAACATTCAGACATCGAAGAACCAGAAAGCAGTCCAGCATCACCCGAAGAAGTCTTCACAGGCCACACTGGAACCACAGGCAGAGCATACTTTGATGAAACAGGCTATGTGAGCGGAGGAGCCAAGGACTCAGACCCTTACGTGAGGAACAGGTTCAACCAGGCCGCATCCGATAACATGCCTAGTAACAGACCTGTTCCGGATACAAGGAATGCTATGTGAGTTTGTACATTTTGAATTTTACCGGCCTTTGCATGCGATGATTAGAGATTAAATGTCTGGAAAACCAAAATGCCGTTGATGAAGTTATTTCAAGGGTCTTCTTTTATGGGATAGGGTGGCAAACGAGCAGACCGATCACCTGATGGTAAGCAAACGATGCCACCCTCAAACGGCTACAATACTTAAGCAGTTATTCCTAATTTACGACATTTTATTGTCTATCGGGCAGTCCTTCTGTCAGACACCGAAAAAAATGTATGTACCTATACTATATTACTGATTCATAGACAAAAAGATATTTCTTTCGTCTCATCGTCTTGATCGTAGATCAAGAATTTCAGCTTTTTATTCCTGCTGTTATACTTTTTTGTGAAATCTTAAAATCCTAATAACGTAAAAATCGCTTTATCAAAAGTTATTTCTGAGAGAACTATAATCCTTAAAATGACTTCACATACAACTCGTAGTATTAGACCATGTTATCAGCCATTTTTCAGGCTTCCGAAGGGTCTTTATAGCTGTCATCGATATTCATAAAAGCCGCTATCGTTGGTCTAACACTCTCAGACCCAGGGAAATATTGACCCTATATCTTAATAAACAATGTCATGATCAATAGAACCCATGTTCGAACTGGAAGGGGTCTCGGATGTATTTTGACCCTTGACTCACTTTCCTATATATTCCATTTGTATTGTGTATTTTTAATATAAATTAACTAAAATTCGCGGGTTACTCACGTGTAAATGTTGAGATTTATTTGAGATTTATTTGTATTTTTAATATACTATTATAATGAAAAATGTTCAACAATTATTTTATTAATAACAAAAATACGGCTTTTTATAGATGAGATTGTCTTAAAGATTATGTTTTTCAATGAAACAAAATGGTCGTAAATCAAGTGCAGGCAAAATTATTCCGAAAATTTTCTTTTGCCAAATTGACAATGCATAAAATTCTGAGCTTTGGGACCATCTATCCAAAATCCTTTTTATTAGCAGCCTAATCGCCTTCACTATCAAGATTTAAATCCAGTAACACCATAACAAACAAGATACTTAATTAAAACATTCCAATTAAAATTGTTAAAACCGTGTTAGTCGAGGCTTTGGTACTGAATCCTTTGATCTCACATGCGTTAGTCATTAACTCAGACCTTTTACATTCATGTTTCCAATGTCCAATTAAGGAAGGGATCGAAATGTGAGCAAAAACGTTACTACTGGAACTATTTCCTACCCTTTTTTTGTCACTTGCCAAATAGTTAATATCTATGGTTATAAGATACAAATTTTGTGCCTCATCTTTTTTCCATCCTGGTTCAGAAAAGAGTTTATGTCACTTCTTTTTCGTGGAACAAGCCTACCACATCTCCCAAAACCGCTGCAACTCCAGTAAGCAAAGATTTAGAATAGATACAAATATGAAAATACCGAAACACTGAAGTCCGGCTCGCCCCAAGAACATGAACAACTGTCTTGGATCCCGCAACTACTAAAAGATATGAGAGGGACTTTAAGACCCTTATAAACTAAAAATGACAACATTTAGTCTTCTGATCCAAGCCAGGGTCTGAGTATATCATTGCTCTTGCACCCACAACCCCGGCTGATGATCAGCTCTAATGAGCCCCATTGGTGGTAATCTTATGGATCTCTTAACCTGTAGCTCTGAAAATAATAATCATACCATAAAATGCTACTATTGCGATGCCAAAGGAAGATCACCAACACTTTTTCATTTATGATAATTATAAGAGTTATTCGATGAAATAGCATCAGTAAAGCCTCATGTTTCTTGACAGATTCTTTGCTAAAACCTGATTTTTTTAGAGCCCGAAGGCAAATTTTTTGAACCCAGTAAAAGTCCATTTACTATTTCGGTATCTTGTGCATGCAAACCAAATGTGAGAGGCAAAACCGTGATCAAATCAGATAAACATCTAAAATACCTTTCGTGACTCTCATTAGATATTTAACATTCTTTTCAAATATAAATATGGTGTCGATATCATCTTGATAAAAGTTTAATACCAAGTTATTAGATACAAGACAAAGTCAACGTAATAGACTTAATTATTTATGATAACGTTTAGGGATAATTAAATGTTTTCTATCCACTTTCCTTAACGATCAATAACCTTCTTTTCCAAAGGTTTCCATTGAATTGTTTGTATGTTCAGAAATAACTTTTTTTCCAAAGAATTTTAAAACGAAAGCTCTGATAAGTCTATCTTTACTTTAAAACTATATAACCACTGCTAAGTCATAATTGCTACCAAAGAGGCTGTCTACTTTAAATATTTTTTTTTACGTTTACCAACCTCTTTTTCTCACACCATAGATAATCATATAGTTCAATACCACATCATCAACAAATCTTTAAAGCAAATATCAATATTAGCTGTTCTTAACCCAAATTCTTTTAAGCTTACGTTAAAGAAGTGCAGTGTCAACTACTGGCCTCAATTTGACGCAACTTCAAACATACCTACCTACGTAATACCTCGCCAACTCGTTATCTGGCGACCTCCGGTGGACCCCGGCGACCTCGCCAACTCATCGGGTCAATGTCTGCGGAGATGAATTGGAGATGTTGACTGCAAAATAATTAGCGAGTGGACTGACAAATGACAGTTCGCCTGTTAATTTCTGTTCGTTGCTAATTTGAAAATAAGCTTTTTTGAAGGGACATTAATTGTTTTAAAAGTCGTTTCTTTTTAATAAAGCCTCTCTTAATTTTTGTTCAAAAACTTCTTCAGAAAATTACTTAAGCCTGCCTACAAATAGAAGATCACGGAATAGAAAATTTTGTGTTCTGTGTAGAAGATTTTATGAATGGTTTTTGTGACTACAGATTATAAAGCTTATATTCATTGAACTAAAAGACAATTTGCCTATTATTGTGCTTCGACTTTACGTAGTAAACACATACAGTAACTATGCAACGGCACTCTTTTATACCACAGTTTTAGAGTTATGATTATTGCAAATAATAGAATATTGTATTTTTTTGCTAACCACTTGGGAGTGCAAAGTAATTACTGACTAAAACACCTCAGTTCCTTCTCCTGCTCGTGGCCGAAGCCGCGGTATCTTATTGCACTTGCCCCGCAACCCCATCTGTACATTCACCCATTTGGACCCCATCTGTGGTAGTCTACTGGCTCTTTAAAGCGTGCTCCAACTGATTATCATGTGGTTATTGGCTAAAATTTAATAATATACCTTTACTTAATTCCCAGGTGTCGACTGAAGAAATACGACGATGACTTGCCGCAGACCAGCATTATCATCACATTCCACAACGAAGCCAGATCAACACTGCTGAGGACCATCGTTAGGTATGTACATTTCATACAAAAACATTACTATCATCATTATCTTCATCATCATTATTCAGTTCTTTACAAAATTTTTACATTAAAAATATAATTATTACTTACCTGTTTAAAAAGAACAGATAGATTAAAGTTTGATATTATTACATTTTGTCCTTCGTGCTAACTCGACTAGCTTCAAGCCATGCTAGGGCTCATATTCATATAGCATTACGCGACACACGACGCTGCAAACGCCACGCTTCTTATTTATAATTTTCGATGTATTCAAAAACCCTAGCATATCCAATGATAAAATTATCGTTTTTCACCCTACAAATAAAGTTTATTTTTGAATCTAATTAATATTTTTGTTACAGTGTTCTGAATAGGAGTCCGGAGCATCTGATCAAAGAAATTATCTTGGTCGACGACTTCAGTGATAACCGTGAGTACCTATCCTTTTTTATAATGTTTAAATGATATAATGAATCAATGCTTTATGTAGAACATTACAATAAAAAGACAGGAAGCACAAATGTTAGTACAATTGGTGTTCTTATCACTAAAAAGCATTTCTGCTAGACAACCATTGGATGGAGTTTAACTGTAGAAGAATTTGGAGCAGTTTACGGCATACAATATCACATTATTATATTTTTTTAAGGATATCAAGAATTAAAAATTATTCTTGATATCTTATTAAGAAGTAATACGACAAACAAAAATAACAACAGGTTAAGCGACGACAGATTTGGACGATATCAGCCTGATTATGATGATAGAGCGTATTGCGACTTTGGTTTACTTTAAGTCGATCGAAAAACGAAGATGCGATTAGTTAATTTTCTTATTCGTATTTCAAAATGATAGGTAAAAATTAAGATACGAAGAAATCATCAAGGAGGTGAAGAGATAGAGAATAGAAAAAAAAGCTAAGTATATCAATTTAGGGCAATTATTCGTGTAACGATTCGCCGTTGAATTGGATAATTTCCGAAGCCAAAAATATATAATATCTACTTTTTAAAACCAAAAATCACTGCAAACTAATCACGCTTACATGTTATATTCAGTTTTCGGTTTAAGCAAACTAAGAGAAACGAGTAGGTATGTTATTAGATGCTCAAAATTATGACGTCAGAACGTTCAATGTTATAAAAAGTTTATAGAAAATTTCATTGTCGTTTTTACTACATTTCGAAAAAAGTATTGGTTTTTAGCAGATGGAAACTACCCTATTCTATTGGCCTTGTTTTACTGTACCTTATCTAAACTGTATGAGTACCTGCACTTTTATAAGCAATAAAACCTGTGATATTATGTTTGTTAATAAAAATAGCATTTGTTACTTAAGCAAACCGGAATATATGTACATTAAATTTAAACCAACGACCTTACTGAGAACTCATCAAATTATGTTAATTCTCTCTTGCAACTTTGTCTGTTTATTAATGCTTTCCTTGTTATAAAACACTTGCTTATATTCACGGCATGGCCCGTGGCAATTAACCTACGGTTTTTGTACTTCCAACTGTTTGAATGCAAAATATCAAGTAATTCAGATATGTTGAGTAGACAAGACATAATAAAGTAACAAACTTGTTGCAAACAACTTGATATTTGTTGGGATTTCTGTAAGAAATTTACTTATTTTTTATGAATTTTGTTACATTTTTGTCGTTATTAAATTAATTTTATTGAATGCGTAGGTATTAAATGGCGTTATTTTTGGAAAAAAAATCCAGTTTTTGTCCTAGGCGTTAAGTTTTTAAGACAGTTAACTTTGATGACGCACATGAGAGTGAATACTAGGTGCTTCCCATCGTTTCCAAAGCACAGTCACTCTGTTGTACATTCATTATATGACTGACGTGTCCAACTGATTTGATCGGTATGATTCCGAGTTTCGGCGTGATGTGTATGTGAGAGTGTATGCTTGTAAATACACTTACAACATTTGACTAAATCCTAGTGTAGGGAAAACTTTAAAAAAAGAACATATTACGTCTATTATTTCGGCATCGAAAAACGCAGAAGTAGGTAGAATTCGATTTTCAAAAATGTATAAGCAGGTACCATTACGTTTGGTCATATTTGGCTAATTTGAACACTAATACTATATTTTTACAATACAAATTTCTATGTAACTTACTTACACTTTTGCACCAATTACATTATATTACATGTAACATAATGCCAACAGGGTCACAAGGCTTTATTGTTACATAAGTAATCATCATAATTACTTGATTTCAAATTGCAGCATCATGTTAGTAATCTCTTGTAAGGTAGGTAAAAGTAGGTGGGAAACGGATGTTTTTTTTTTAAAGAATCTTTATTATTACACAAGACTTAAGTTAGCTTCTACAAATCTATAAAATCATTGTTTTAGAGAAAGGCGTGCAAAAAAACAAATGACAGAGCTTAGTCCAAGTGATTTTTTCCGCCCTGAGTGAAGCAAAAAAAAAGTTTAAAGTGTGGGAGAGCCATGCTTCGGCACGAATGGGTCGGCTCGACCGGAGTGATACCACGGCCTCACAGAAAACCGGCGTGAAACAACCACAGCGTTGTGTTTCGCCGAGTGAGTGAGGTTACCGGAGGCCCAATCCTTCCCCTTCCCGGACCCTTCCCCAATCCCTTATCCCTAAAAGGTCGGCAGCGCACTCGTAACTCCTCCGTTGCGGGTGTCCATGGGCGGCGCTGATTGCTTACCATCAGGTAATCCGTCTGCTCGTTTGCCGACTTATCACATTAAACATTAAACAGCAAAAGAGTGTCAGACTCCTACTGACTAAAAATACCCCGTTTTGGCGCCTTCTCTAGGCCGGAGCCACACATTATTGTGCTTAACCCACCACCCGGGATATTATGTAACTTAAAATTGTATTATTCTTTGCTACATATTCCAAAACATATTAAATATATCAATGTTTACGTTTAGAACTACCTAAATACGTTTTGCTAATACAATCAGAAATAAAAAAAAAAACAAAATGTAATTACAAAATGTTGACCCGTATTCTCAGATCTCTAGTTCGTATTTCTCTATTTACTTCTTTTCATTAGATTGTAACAACTTAAACTCATTAAAATTATATTCTTAACCTTGCAATCATCGTTATTTCAGACATAATATAAGGTGCACCAACGCCGGCTTTCACTTGGGTTTTGATGAATTAAAATAAAACTGTGCTTACAGAAAAATACTACAATATGTATCAACTTATTGAAAGTAATGCTTAACTACTTATGTTCCATTTTATCAACTCTATTTTTTAGAAAAAAAAATTATTTATAAAGCAATGTAAACGAAATATATATAATAACAAACCAATCGCCAAAAAATATCAAAAGAAACTGACTGACAGACAAATGAGAATAATGAACCTCGAATATTTTAATACGAAACATGCAAGCAAGAAAACAAAGTACCAACTTGGCTGGCGCTCTGCCAGGCCTAATAAAGAAATGAAACTAAAATGCCGCTCTCACTATGACAAAGAATTCTCACTGAACATTGAAGTGCTACGTACATATCTGTTTAGATAGACTTACTTAGCAGTCAATAATGATATTGCAGATTTTTCTTCTGAATATTTCGAGATAAACTTGCATTTCATTTTTATATGAAAGGGAATAACATTCCTTTTTTTTTTAAATGACGATTTGACAAATTAAATTAGTAAAATAATTTAAGGAATTTAGACACACGCATTGTTTGTTTTATGCATAGAAAAAAAACCATACACTTAGGTACTTCGTTTTTAAAGCGACTATCGATACTGAACTTGGATAAGGAGGTCTGAACCGTTTACTGTGTAATCTCCAAATACATGTCATCTTGGAGACTAGGTAAACCCCATTCGTGAACTACATGGTCTAGTAGTGCATGGATAACTATTTTTGCAATACTATCTTCGTTATATGATGTGTTCGGGTCAGGGACCTTCCGTCACGGGGGCTAATGATGTGACTTCTTAGTCACATCATTAGGTCATCTTTTCCTGCCCTCACGAAAATCAGATTTTTGTAAAGAAGAAAATCATCAGGTTCAGGCACTAAAAACCCCCCTGTCTTCTGCAAAAGACCGAAGTCGCAATACCTTTTTACGCTTGCCCTGCAACTCCGATGAACATCAATTCAGCCATGCTGGTGTGTAGTGGTCTATTTGACTCTTTGTAGCGCGCGCGGAAGACTACGCGCCATACGCTAGGCTAAGAAGCAAAGTCATGTCTACTCATCTAATAAAATGTAAATATAAAACAACAACAAAACAGCAGAATAAATTAATATGTATATATAATAAAGAGCTCCTTCTCGCTGTCGACTGCACGTTTCTGTTGGCACAACACAATGGTTTATCTTTATCAGTACAATACAACAGTATTGTGAATTTTATTTCACTTTGCATTATAATTAAACAAAACATCCGCTTAATTACCGCCAAAGAACAATAGTTCAGTGTCCAATTAATTCTCGCTTCTCATATTAAGTTGTGAAATTCATACACAAGTTGTACTACAGCTTCTGTAAAAATTAATTGGATTTATTTATATGGTAATGTAGCTATGTGATTGTTGAAATCATTTTTAGCTGCGGTTAATTCAATTAGCATTATGACGTTTTTATTTGCAGTTTCTTTTTGTTGCCAAATCGCTATACTTGATTTTGTTGATGTAATACTTACCTAATGTGTAATTGATTCTGTTAAACGATATAATTCTGCTAAAATTTGTTTGATATTCTTTCATATAATCTATCTTAGACGTAAAGTGACAGTGGACTAGAATATATTATATCTACAGTGACTCTTCTCGCGAGTATCCGAAATTATATCGGCGCTGCGAAAATTGCAGCTTAAAACCAAACTTTTTAAACCAGACGTTCCGATTACAGATCGAACATGGATTTGACGTAATTGGATGTTTGATACCCAAACATCCTCAAATAAGGCCATTTCCATCTTTGTAGACCAGGTTCCATATCGTTGGATGGTCAGGGCTGTTGATGTAGGCTTTGATTCAACTGGAGTTGCAAGTATATCCCACCCAAGGTCGGTAGAATCTTCCGATAAGTAATTTCAATAAATGAACAATACAAAAAACTGGTTATAAATTTTTGAGTATAAAAAGAAAAGGACATTTCCAAACATTTTATCACGTGTTGTAACGCCTAAAAGCGCGAATCTTAAAGTAAATGAAAAATGAAAGGTAAATGTTTGGCAAAATGTTTAGCGCACCTATCTTTGTTTAAACAGGCTGAAGTAAACGTGGAGTTTGTACATAATGTATATAAAAACGCACGAGTTAGGCAGCCAAACAATTTGCCTTTGCAAACATTGAAATATTTTTTGCATTAACAAGATTTTCTTTTTCTTAATCAAACCTGAAATTTCATTTAAAACTTTGTTATAAATTGTTAGCATGGTTTTACACTACGGCCGATCTGAATCTGAGAAATTATACTATAATCCGTAGTCATGGTAAAATTAAAACTATACAACGTTTTAATACAAATTTGGTGACTATGATAGTATCTTGTATGTTTATTAGCATAGAAATAATTGAACGGCCACAACTGACATACAGATAGACATATAGATAGATAGGTTTTTTTTAAAATCCGCATGCATGCAAAACCTGGAAATTACCAATGTGACTTTCTCAGAGTTATATATTAACGCATGGTGATTAATGCTTAATCCTTCTCAGTGTGAGAAGAAGCCTTTGCACAGCAATGGCCATGTATAGGCTGATGATGATGATGATGGGTAGATTAATATATATTAATGCGTGGTAATTAATGATTATGGGTAGTATTTTATTTCGCATGATGTTCTGACGATAGCTTTACTGGTGATTGCAAAAATATAAAGGAATGACAAACCTCTGAAAACCGTAATAGGATTCTCGATGAATTCCCACCCGCAAACTTCAAATAAAAAGGCTCATAATAGGCCAAAATGTTTATCAGTGATTTTTTATGTCAGGTTCAAGATCACACTGATCTTCTCTCACTATCATAGAGTATAAATATATTCAGATTATGGCCTTAGCATAGCGTGTATACTAATTATTATTTTCCTTAAGGTTTCAATGCTATAATATGCATCTTTTTTAATATTATCATTTTTTCCACCAGCCGAGGACGGGGCGGCTCTCCGCGCGATCCGCAAGGTCAAGGTGATTCGGAACTCGAAACGCGAGGGTCTGATGAGGTCCAGAGTCCGAGGCGCTGATGCTGCAGTGGCTCCTGTGCTAACCTTCCTTGACTCCCACGTGGAGTGCAACGTGCATTGGCTGGAACCTCTCTTGCAGAGAGTGAAAGAGGTATGTGCATAATCTTTGGATAGATTTTCTTAATTTACTCTTATAAATTAAGTTGTATGTACAGTACATACAACTTAATTTTTATTGGCTTATATTTGTCGTTACATATAAAAATTAAATCGGCATTACTAAACGCGTGTAGAAAACCTTATTTGGATGGATTTTCAGGGATGCTGTCATGAATGCATAGTACGTTAAGATAAGGTTAAATCCTATGAATCGAGCAGATCACCGACTAAATACTAAATATGTAATGGATTTTGATAATATTTTGATTTCCATATAATTATACTATTAGGTATCTTGACACAAGTCATAATTTGACAGACGTAAAATAAAAACTCCTTAGCGTTATTCATCAATGAATATTAATTTGATTTCGACCTACTAATTCAGGTCAATTACGAGTTTCCGTGTAGGCTGACAATTATATTGACATTATCAAATGTCACATTAGCATTCTATTAGATTATATTCACGGTAACGCCTCCAATTGCTGATTACTTTTCAATGTTTGCATCGAATCCGAAAACTTGAAAATGTCAGATGAATTTATGTTGCAATAATGAAATCCACTTTATGCAATGCGCATCTAAACGATAATGTAATTGCAGAAATTGCAATATTTATAGAATATTGTTGTAATCGTTATTGATATAACTTGAAAGTGGCAGTCTTTGAAACGGTTGGGTAAAGTGATAGAGAATACCCTCTTCACAAGTGATTTTTTTAAAACGTAGCCCCACACTAGGATTTTCTCCTGTGTCGTGGGTGCGTTTACAAATATACAAATTATTCACGTACACATGACCCCCAGACCCACAACAACAATCTGTGGTTCACACAAGGTGCTGTTCCGTGCGGGAATCGAACCGGCGAAACATTGCACGCCAGCCAGTTACTTAGTGCCGTGCAATCAATTTATAAGGCCATTGTATACATTGGTAGTTGCCAATGTACGGCAGTAAGCTCGCCGATATCTGTGAGCTGAAGTGGCTTTGGGCAGGCCACATCGCTCGAAGGACTGACGACCGATGGACCAAAGACGTAGCAGGCGGTCCCGAACATGCTACGTTTGGTAGGTACACCAACAACATCGTCAGAGTCACGGGTAGCCAATGAATCCAAGTCCAGAATTGTCTTTTGTCGTAGAGGACTAAGGGAAGACCTTTTTGTAGTGGTCATCTTCCGGCTTATAATGATAATGATAAAACAAAAAATGAATTTACACATCTATTTACTCAAAATGTTAAAATAAAAAGTTTTGACTTATTTGCGGACTAGTTGGCTATACCTATTAGTCTCATTTAAAAATATTATAAACACACCACTCTTAGGAACGTGGATTTTTTAATAGGCAAGTATCTAACAGGATGACTATACCTAACTGTTCGCGCCATCTATCGTAATACCTCTGTGAATTGTGGAGTGATAAATATGTGTCGCCATCTAGTGACCAAATGTGCGCGAAATAAAATCGTTTTGACACCCCGATCGTTTCCGGCGCCATCTACTTCCGAACTGTTCTTTTTTTTTCTTGTTACTTCCCTTGTCGTCGTCGTTGTAATAAGTTTGGTATTAAGTTTTGTAACCATGTAAAAAGTGGAAATATAAGTTTTGTAAAGCACAAGACGTTTTTTTTAATTGGGAATTTCGGATACAAATAAGGACGAGACCAACGATCCTGCACATAATTTGGTCCTTCGAGCCGGATCGCTGCATACGAAGAATACGAGAGAGACGCCGAGCCAGCCGCCATACTTTTTCCACGAAGAAAAAGTTTACGAGAAAAATTGGGCAACGGTTTGGTTTGTGATCCCGTCTTATCCAAATTCCTAATTCGTGAGTGTTGAAGCTGTGCTTTACGTATACGTGAGTGGTTTTACGTTTTCCTGATTCGAATTTGTGGCGCGGCGCTTCGCCCGCTGATACTTGCACGTGAGTACCTACATATTTTCCTTTTACGTTTTATTCGTACACCGTCAATATGCCTGTCGATAAAACTTCCGACGAAACTATCTCTGACCTTAGGAAACAAAGGGGAAGCTTGAAAGGCCGAATTACACAGTTTAAAAAGTTTGTTGATTCATTCCAAGGCGCCACTTTGACGCCATTACAAGTTGAAGAATTCAAAGTTAGAATACAAGCGGCTAGTGATTTATTTTCAAAATTTAACGCTATCGAGACCGAGCTCGAATCATTTTTGTCGGACGCGGAATGTCAAACTAATTCGGAGTATGTAAACTCATTAGAGTCGATATATTTTACGGCGATGGCTGGTGCCAATTGTTTAATTCATAGCGTGGAGACTAGTAGCAGGACTCCGGATGATAGCGCGTGTCGTAAACCTAACGTCAAGTTACCGGAGATAAAATTACCTATTTTCGATGGGTCCTGTGACAATTGGCTCGAGTTCAAACATTCATACAGTACAATGATTCATAAACGTTCAGACTTAGACGAAATACAGAAATTTCATTATCTCAGGTCAGCGCTCACTGGTAGTGCCCTACAGGTAATCAGTGCTTTAGAATTTAGTCCGGCTAACTACATTCATGCATGGGAGCTATTGGAAAATCGGTTTCACAACGAAAGATTATTGGTTAATAACCACGTGAAAGCGTTATTCAATAGTGCGACCTTGAAATCGGAATCCTCTACGCAGATTAGAAAATTGATAGATACTATTCTACGTAATTTACGAGCTCTCAACTCACTAGACGAACCCACGGAGAAATGGGATACGCTTATTATCTATCTTATCGTAACTAAGCTCGATGCGTCCACCGAACGTGAGTGGGAGAATCACAAAGGTGCGATGTCATTAGGTGTCAAGGACAAGGTCAAGCTAGATGATTTACTCTCATTTCTTAGGAACCGTGCTGACATGCTCGATATGATAACCGCGAATCATAGTAAGCCGAAAGAAGTATCACAAATTACTACTAGTGATAAGAAGAGTGATAACAAGTATCACAATCGTAGTTCAAATCGTATTCATAGTTATGTTTCTTCAAAGGGTAAATTCAATCGTAATAATTTTAAAAAGGATTTGTCAAATTGTGTATTGTGTAATCAAGGTCATGCTCTCTATACGTGTATAAGTTTTTTAAATATGTCGGTTAGTGATAGGTCGAAGTTTGTTAATGAGAAGAAATTGTGTCGAAATTGTTTACGTTCGGGACATATGATTGACGATTGCGTGTTTGGTCCGTGCAGGCAATGTCAGGGAAAACATAATAGTTTACTGCATTTCGATAATAGCGTAAATTGCGCGTGTGTGCGTAACGAGTCGCGCGGAGAGGCGGCGAGCAGCACGCACACACAGAACGCAACCGTGTTGCATTCTTTACCCGATGCGAATGATATTGTCGTATGCGACAAAGCTAGTAATAATTTTAAGTTGATACATACGGTGTTACTTTCCACGGCGTTGGTGGAAGTCGCTGATAATAATAACGTGTTTCATACGGTTCGCGCGCTTTTAGATAGCGGAAGTCAGAACTGTTTTATTACGGAGAAACTGTCTAAACGAATAAATGCGACTTATTTAGAGTCCTCGATACATATCTCGGGTGTGGGACAGTATGTCACACAGTCGTCTCATTCATGCGATATTTCTATGCGATCTAAAGTAAACGATTATTCTACCAAGATTCGTTGTATTATCTTGCCATGCATAACATCCAGTTTGCCTACGATAAACATCGAATCAGGTTATATTAGTATTCCCGATAATGTGCAACTGGCAGATCCTACATTTAATATTAGTTCGGATATTGATTTGCTGATAGGTGCAGATATATTTTGGGACCTTTTAAATAATGATAAAATACGTTTACCGAGTGGCCCATACCTACATAATTCGAAATTAGGTTGGTTGTTGTCCGGTCCTATATTCGCAAAGGACGTTCAGACGACGCATGTCAAGTGTCACTTTAGCCAAGATATTGATAAGCAACTTAGATTGTTCTGGGAGCTCGAGAGTATACCTACACCGCCTCGTTCAGTCCTTACGGAGGATGAACGTAAGTGCGAGGAATTGTTTATTAATACGCATCTACGCGAAGATAATGGTAGGTTCTCGGTTCGGATACCGCTGAGTGAATCTCCGGACACACTGGGTGATTCTTATACGCTCGCGAAGAAGCGGTTTCTGAACTTGGAACGTAAACTTGAACGTTTACCGGAATTTAAACGTATGTATAGTGAATTTATGCGAGAGTACAAGGATTTAGGTCATATGTCAATAATTAGTGATTGTGGTCACCCTAATTATTATCTTCCACACCACGGGGTCGTTAAAGAAAGTAGCACGACCACCAAGTTACGCGTTGTATTTGACGCTAGTGCTGTGACTAGCTCAAACAAATCATTAAATGATATCCAGTATACGGGACCCGCGTTACAAAACGATATTTTTTCCATTTTGCTGCGCTTTAGGCAATATAAATATGTCGCGTGTGCAGATGTGGAAAAGTGTTTTAGAAACGTACTTGTCCAGCCTGATCAAAGATCGTTACAATTAATATTGTGGCGTGAAAGTCCTACGGAACCATTAGATACGTATCAACTAAATACGGTGACGTACGAAACCGCATCGGCTCCATATTTAAGTATGCGTTGTATCAGACAGTTAGCGTTGGAATGCGATGATAAAGTGATAGCACGAGTCATTACTGAAGATATTTTTGTAGATGATTTGATAACTGGTGATGATGATCATCATCAATTACTTTCGATTTGTCAAAAGACATCAGAAGTGTTGCAATCTGGTTGTTTTCCTTTGCGTAAGTGGACTTTCAATTCAGACACTTATCAAAGCGAATCCGTTGATCATTTTATTGGTGAACATTCGCAAACGAAAACACTCGGATTAGGTTGGCACAACACTGATGATGACCTTTATTTCGCAACGAATATTGATAATAATTATTCAAAATTAACTAAACGTGTAATGCTATCTATTTTATCACAGATTTATGATCCGTTAGGTCTTC